CCAGTCGTTCACACTTCCGGCCTCTCCGCAGCAGAATGGGGTTGCTGAGCGCCGCATTGGCTTAGTCATGGAGGTCGCTCGTACCTCCATGATCCATGCGGCTGCCCCCCATTTTCTGTGGCCATTTGCGGTCCGGTACGCCGCGCATCAGCTCAACCTCTGGCCCCGTGTCTCCTTGCCGGAGACCTCGCCCACACTGCTGTGGACGGGGGAGGTTGGCGATGCGTCGCGCTTTCGGGTCTGGGGTGCTCATGCCTTTGTCCGCGATACCACCGCGGACAAGCTCTCCGCTCGCGCCATTCCCTGTGTCTTCCTTGGTTTTCCTCCTGACGTGCCAGGCTGGCAGTTTTACGACCCCGCTTCGCGCCGTGTCTTTGCGTCTCAGGACGTCACCTTCGACGAGTCGGTCCCCTTTTACCGTCTCTTTCCCTACCGCACTGCCGCTCGCCCCCCCCCCTCCACTCTTTCTCGCTCCAGGTCCTCCCCAGGTAGACCCCCTCCCCGCGCCAGGTCCTGCTCCTTCAGGTGTTTCTCAGGTAGACCCTCCTGTGCCTGAGCCTGTTGAGGTCACTGGTGACTCAGGTCCTGCTGGGGGTGGTCCAGCTTGGGGTGCTGTCTCTAGGGGTGCTGTCTCTAGGGGTGCTGTGCCTGGGGGTACTGCGTTTGGGGGTGCTGAGCCTGAGCGTGCGGAGCCTAGGGGTGCTGAGTCTGGGGGTGCTGAGCCTGAGCGTGTAGGGCCTGGGGGTGCTGGGCCTGGAGGTGCTGAGCCTGAGCGTGAGGAGACTGGAGGTACTACGTCTGGGGGTGCTGCGTCTGGGGGTGCTGAGTCTGGGGGTGCTGAGTGTGAGCGTGAGGAGCCTGGGGGTGCTGAGTCTGGGGGTGCGGCGCCTGAGGGTACTAGGACTGCTCGTGTGCGGTCTCCTTGGAGTGGCCGCCTTCGTCCGAGTGTCCCCATAGCAGCTGCACGAGTGGTACGCTCGCCGTCAGGGTCGCGCTGCTGGAGCTCGGGGCTCTGCCGCTGGATTCGCTTCTACTGACGTCCCTGGAGCTGGGGGTGCCGGTTCAGAGGGTACTGGGGCTGGTGCGAGAGGTGCCGACGACGCTGGAGCCGCTGGGCCTGAGGACGCTGGAGCTGGTGGTACTGCTGACCCTGCCGCAGGAGGTGCTGTTGGAGCTGCTGACACTGGAGCTGGGAGTACTGCGGGTACTTTGTCTGCTGGAGGTGCTGGAGCCGCTAGACCCGGAGGTGCTCGTACTGGAGGTACTGGAGCTGCTGGGACTGGAGGTGCTGCGTCTGGGGGTGCTACTGCTGGAGACCCTGGGACTGGAGGTGCCGGTTCTGGGGGTGCTGCTGCTGGTGACGCTGGTACTGGCGGTGCTGGCGCTGGAGGTTCTGCGGCTGCTAGAGGTACTGGCGCTCGAGGAGCTGGAGGTGGAGGGTGTGGAGCTGCTGGAGGTTCTGGAGCTGCTGGAGGCACTGGAGCTACTGGTGCTGGTGGCACTGCTGCGCAGCGACTGTTCTTCTCTCCGCCGTCACCGTCGTCTCTGCCGCCTCCTGACACAGTGCTTCGCCAGGTTCTTAGCCTGCCGTCTTCCACTGGCCTACCGTTACAGCCAGGCTCCCCCCTGCCTGCTCCCTCTCCTTACACTGAGCAGACAGGAGGTCTTACTGAGCGTCGCGAGCCTGCGTCTCGTCCTGTCTCGCCTGTTCGCACTGGTCGCACTGGTCGCACTGGTCGTGTTAGTCGTGAGCGTCCTCCTCCTGTCCCTGGCACGCACATTATGGCACTTCGTCCTTCCTCTGTTCCACAGCGTGTTCCTCTGCCGTCTCCTCCTGCGTCTTCTTTGCCTGACGTTCCGGACCCTGAGTCTGACCGGTTTCGTGCTGAGCACCCTACTGTCACGCGCCTTCTACCCACTGTTGTCACTGACCCGTCGTTTGAGTCTGCTGCTGCGTCTGCCTTAGTCGCTGAGCTAGTTGACTTTGCTGCTGCCTGTCGTCTAGACTACGCTGCTAGCCTTGTTGCTGAGTCTGAGTCTGTCTATCCTCCATCCATCCGGGGTGAGTGTGCTCTTGGCACAGACGTCCTTGAGGACAGGCACGAGGACCTTGAGTGTCTTGCAGCCGCTGCGCCTCATCTCGTGGCCATGCTGCTTGCCCCTGAGGGAGACCCGAATGCTGTAGACATCCCGACCCCGTGCTTTTACGCTGAGGCGATCGCGGGTGAGTACTCCTCTCAGTGGCAGGCAGCCATGGACGCAGAGATGGCATCCTGGAAGTTCACAGGCACTTACGTCGATGACGTTCCCCCTCCCGGGGCGAACATCGTCGATGGCATGTGGATTTTCAGGGTGAAGCGGCCACCTGGTTCTCCGCCTGTCTTCAAGGCTCGCTACGTTGCTCGAGGCTTCAGTCAGCGAGAGGGAGTTGACTTCTTCCAGACCTTCTCCCCCACCCCGAAGATGACCACTCTTCGGGTGCTGCTGCACGTTGCCGCTCAGCGTGACTACGAGCTTCACTCCCTTGACTTCAGCACAGCTTTCTTACAGGGCAGCCTGCACGAGGAGATCTGGCTGCGCCGCCCACCTGGCTTCACTGGGTCGTTCCTTCCTGGTACCCAGTGGAGCCTCCGCCGGCCAGTCTACGGTCTCCGCCAGGCGCCTCGTGAGTGGCACGACATACTGAGGACGACACTTGCGGCTCTTGGGTTTGCTCCTTCGACTGCTGACCCGTCGCTGTTTCTGCGCACCGACACTTCCCTGCCGCCGTTCTACATCCTCGTGTACGTCGACGACTTGGTCTTTGCCACTGCTGACACTGAGGCTCTCGCCCTGGTGAAGTCGGAGCTGCAGAAGAGACACACGTGCACAGACCTGGGTGAGCTGCGCAGCTACCTTGGCTTGCAGATCACACGGGACAGAGCACGCCGCACCATCATACTGACTCAGTCACACATGGTGCAGCCGGTCCTTCAGCGCTTCGGCTTCACGTGGTCCTCCCCACAGTCCACTCCTCTAGCTATAGGTCACTCGCTCTCAGCTCCACCTTCGGACGAGTCCGTAGAGCCGAGTGGTCCTTACCCAGAGCTAGTGGGTTGCCTCATGTACCTGATGACCTGCACTGGACCTGACCTTGCGTACCCTCTTGGCCTTCTGGCTCGCTACGTGGCTCCTGGTAGGCACCGAAAGGTGCACATGGATGCTGCTAAGAGGGTACTACACTACTTGTGCGGTACATCGGGCATGGGGCTCGTGCTTGGAGGACGGGGTGACGTTGTCCTCACTGGACACTCTGACGCGTCTTGGGTTGACGACCAGGCTACACAGCGGTCGTCACAGGGTTACACCTTCAGTCTTGGCTCTGGCTCTGTTTCTCGACAGTCTACACGCTCGTCTTCTGTTCTCAGCTCCAGTTGCGAGGCTGAGATCTACGCCACAGCCATGGCTGCTCAGGAGTTACGAAGGCTCACGTACCTGCTGACTGACTTGGGAGAGCGGCCTCGTTCTCCTCCAGTTCTGTACGTTGACAACAAGGCGGCCATTGCCTTGTGTGAGGAGCACAGACTGGAGCACAGAACGAAGCACATCGCTCTGCGTTACTTCCTGGCTCGAGAGTTGCAGCAGCCAAGTCAGCTTCGTCTTGCTCACGTGGCCACTCGGGCCAACACTGCTGATATATTCACCAAGGCACTTCCATCTGGTGATCATCAGCGCTTCTGTACTTTGTTAGGCCTTGTACCTACGTTTCCTCACTTGCTGTAGGCTTTGCTTGTACTGTGATCTATATACATATACCTGCATGCTTGCTCTTGCTAGGTAGTAATCACTGTGCTGTTTCTGTTGCATATATACCTCTGCATGTAGACTGGCCTTGTGGCCCTTTGCTTGTGCTCAGTGTGTGTGGTGACGTTGTGATCCACCCTGTGCTTGGTTTGCTTTTCTTGACTGGTCTTGTGACCCCTTGTTCTCCCCCACTTCGCCTATGGGGGTGTGTCAAACTATATATATATATATATGTATCCTGTAGTATAGTCTGTAGGCTGTAGTGGGGTAGCCCATATGGGGTACAGCCCAATGTTAGGGTTTCTATTTGTACCCATCTTCCTGATAGTTCATTCATTCCTGCCTAGACTTCTGACATTGTCATTAGGGCGTGTGTGGTCCTTGAAAATCGTAAAAGTTTACGTTTTTAGGGCGAGTTGTGCGAAACGAACGGTAAGTCGAATCAAACTCGACTTTCCTTGTTTCGGGGTTCGAACATCTGGACTACAACACAGCAAAAAACACACACACATACAAGGTCGAACCCCGACATTCGACCTTCTAAATAGCGCGCCGAGCCGCGCGTCAAGAAAATAGGTTACCCGGTAAAATCGACTTGAAAGTAGGTTACCCGGTACTCACCTACATGCCACGGATGTTGCCACGTGGCAACCGACGAGTGCGCTAATTGTGGGCTGATTTCGTTTTGAGATTTTCAGCTTCGTGAAGCTGCCGCCCGTTTCGCCTGCTCCTCGCACGTGCTGAAAATCACACACGCTTGCCTGAAAGTGCGCACGCACGTTCTCTACTAAATCTCGAGTCAAGTTCAGATTTGCAGTTCGAATCTTTGAAATCCCGATAACTTCGTCATTTCGCTAAGACTAGTTGGCGAAATTAACGAAACAAGTAACCACACAAAGTTCGCACTTCATTTTGAACTTTTGGACAGACCACACACGCCCTTATATAAGCACATGCGCTTATGCCCGAAACTCAATTATAAGCGCCCCCCTTAAAAAATATATATATATATATATATATATATATATATATATATATATATATATATATATAAGCGCATATGCGCTACTATCCGGGGTGATACGGTAATAATTTGCTTTGAAACCACACTGGCCATCAAACTCTATTTCGTCTTTCACTGTCCCTCTTTCAGCTTCCATACAGCTTCGATTTCTGCACTTGTTACAAGCTGGCAAAAAAAGATCCCATCCCTATTCTCATCGCTTGCCCTTTTTCTCCTGCGACCGGTGCGCCATGCAGCGGATGCCATCGGGGTCCATGGCAAACCCCAACGGACGGTAGAAGGTGACAACGCGCTGCTCCGCGAACAGCCCCACGTTGCACACGCCCAGGCGCAGCAGCGCGCCCACCACGCGCTCCATGAGGGCGCGGCCCAGCCCGCTGCCCTGCAGGCGCGGGTCCACCGCCACGTCCCACACCACCTCGTTGAACACGCCATCCCCCGCCGTGCGCGCAAACGCCACTGGCTCCACCGCCGCCTCAGGCGGGGAGGGCGAGGGGGAGGTGGGCGAGGAAAAGAAGGCGAGAGGCTCCGCAGGAGAAGGTTGAGGGGCGGAGAACCAGAGCACGAGGGTGGAGTGCGCCAGCGCGTGCTGCAGCTTCTTGGGGCCGCGGCGGGGGAAGCCGGCACGGTGGAAGAGGTCGTCAAGCTTGGCGTAGTCGAGGAGCGCCGTGTCCCAGTGCACTGCGATGCCCCGCTCCTGCAGCTCCCCGTCCGTCAGGCTCACCTGCTGCTGCCCTCCTGACCCCCCTGCCCCAGCAGCAGCGCAGTGCCGTGTATGGCGTGTGGCGTGGAAGCGGGGTTGGCAGAATGGCTGGTGACACTGCATGGGACCAGCGGGGGAGTAGAGACGGAGACAAGGGGAAGTAAGTGGGTTGTGGTTGCATTAGGTGCGTTGATTAATCAAGTGGAGACGAATAAGTCAATCCTGGCTGAAGAAAGGCATCCCAATCGGGCAATGGCAGTGCACGCCAAGCAGCCCAACACGCCAGCATGGATGCACGGCAGCTGCTGCGCAGCGACAGTGAGTCAAAGCTATGGCCACCCCACTCGCTCACGTTGAGCACGGATGGAAGTAGCACACTGGCAGCATCGCAGACAATCCAGGGAAGGGCAGAACATTCCGTGGTGTGCTCTCACCGTGGTGTGCTCTCACCGTGGACGGCATGCAGGCGGACAGAGGCGTGTGTTGAAAGGCTGACTCATGGCGCGCGGGCGGGTGGAGGGTTGTGAATGGATGGAGGGCGCCGGTTGAGGCAGAGGCAGACGAGAGAGAGGCGACGAGAGGAGGGCGCATGCTGCCGTTGAGGGCAGAGCAGGGGAATGGAACGCGATGGGACGCGAAACTGAGGGAGAGAGAGGGGAGCCGGTGGGGGGGGTGGAAGGGGAGAGGGAAGGGGAGAGGGAAGGGGGGAGGGAAGGGGGGGGAAGGGAGGGAAGGGGGGAGGGAAGGGGGGAGGGAAGGGGGGAGGGAAGGGGGGAGGGAAGGGGGGGAGGGAGGGAAGGGGGGAGGGAAGGGGGGAGGGAAGGGGGGAGGGAAGGGGGGAGGGAAGGGGGGGAGAAAGAAGGGAAATGGGAGGAGAGATGGTTGTGGTGATGAAAGGATGGGGTGGGAGGAGGGCAAAGAGAGGGAGAGGAGTCTTGGAGAGGGTTTGGTGGGCGCTTCGCTTGCTCCGCATCTACTATGTTTGAAACAAGGGGGGTGTTGGGCAGAGACAAGGGGCGTGTGGAAGAAGAAGGACGGGGGAGGCCAACAAGGAGAGGCTGCAAATGGCAGCAGGCAGCGACACAGGGCACCATGAGCGCGCCAGTGGGATACGAAGCGATATTGGCAACGAGGCCGTGGCCGCCCCTCAGCTGACGTCAACATCGACGCCCAACATGCCAGTGCCGCCAATTCCGCGCCTCCAGCGACGCCGCTGGTGCGGCGCGTCGTATTCGCAACAATCGATTAACTAGAGCCGCTAAAACCTAGTTCGAGTCGAGAGCGATGAACCCACTCTGCCCGCCGTATGCACTTGCTGCTAACTTGCCTGCTCACATCGTTGATCGGAAACTGCCGTGGTACAGCATGTAACGCGGATGGTGGCACTCTGGTGTCAGTGGAAAGCGCGGAAAAAGCAGCCACTGCAGCCGGAGGGCGGCCGGCTGCGAGCAACGGGAAAGGCGAGTGGAGCATGGCAGGCGAGCCGACGTGCGGCGCTAACCTGCGTGCGACAAGAAAAAAACTCTTGGTATGAAGAAGAGTATCCTAGATGAGGGAGGCAACGCAGTTGCACTGCAGAGTTGTGAGTGCAAACACAAGCCCCTTTCCCCTGCCCAACAACCCCCTTCTGTCTCACTCTCACACTTACACATAAAAACACACATGCACAAGCACACACAATCACATGAATCCACGCACACACCCTCAAACTCACCCTTGGACTCACCCTCGTACGCACCCTCACATTCGCTCTTGCACTCACCCTCAATCAAAACCTAACACTCACGTTCGCATTCACCCTCGCACACACGCTTGCAATCATAATTGCACTCGCCTTCACACTCACCATTGCAATCGCACCTGCACCATTACACTCAACCTCACACTCACACACACACTCACACTCTCGCAATCACCCTTAAACTCGCCCTCTAGTCAACCTCACACTCACCCTTGCACTCACGCTCGCACTCAAGCGCGCATTCACGCTCACAGTCACCCCCATTCTCACCCTTGCACGCACACTCGCACTCACACTCACACTCGCACTCACCCACTCACACTCGCACTCACCCACTCACTCATGCACTCACACTCACCCTCGCTCTCACTCTCACACTCAGCCTCGCAATCACTCTTGCACTCACGCTCGCACTTCCTCTCGCACACACCTTCGCACGCACACACCCTCAAGTGCATGAGCGCACTGTCTCTCGCACCACACCCTCAAGTGCATGAGCGCACTGTCTCTCGCACCACACCCTCAAGTGCATGAGCGCACTGTCTCTCGCACCACACCCTCAAGTGCATGAGCGCACTGTCTCTCGCACCACACCCTCAAGTGCATGAGCGCACTGTCTCTCGCACCACACCCTCAAGTGCATGAGCGCACTGTCTCTCGCACCACACCCTCAAGTGCATGAGCGCACTGTCTCTCGCACCACACCCTCAAGTGCATGAGCGCACTGTCTCTCGCACCACACCCTCAAGTGCATGAGCGCACTGTCTCTCGCACCACACCCTCAAGTGCATGAGCGCACTGTCTCTCGCACCACACCCTCAAGTGCATGAGCGCACTGTCTCTCGCACCACACCCTCAAGTGCATGAGCGCACTGTCTCTCGCACCACACCCTCAAGTGCATGAGCGCACTGTCTCTCGCACCACACCCTCAAGTGCATGAGCGCACTGTCTCTCGCACCACACCCTCAAGTGCATGAGCGCACTGTCTCTCGCACCACACCCTCAAGTGCATGAGCGCACTGTCTCTCGCACCACACCCTCAAGTGCATGAGCGCACTGTCTCTCGCACCACACCCTCAAGTGCATGAGCGCACTGTCTCTCGCACCACACCCTCAAGTGCATGAGCGCACTGTCTCTCGCACCACACCCTCAAGTGCATGAGCGCACTGTCTCTCGCACCACACCCTCAAGTGCATGAGCGCACTGTCTCTCGCACCACACCCACTCTCACACCCGGATTCAAACCTACGCACACCCAAATACCAACACACATTCGCTCACCCTCTCGCACACGCTCGCACTCACTCTCGCAACAACTCACCAACACTCAAATACCATCCGTCCTTAGATACACTGACAGAAAACACACACAAACACTTGCACTCACTCAAACACCCACACTCGCGCGCGCGCGCACATACACACACACACACGGAGTCGCGCGAACCCTCGAACTGAAGGCGCGATCACTCACACCCTCACTCATGCTCACACTCGCCCTCGCACTCACTCCCGCGCACACTCGCATTCGCCTTCGCACTCACACTCACGCTCACTCTCCCACTTGCCCTCGCACATGACGTTACATGCACCTTTGCACTCACCCCCGCCTCACTCTCGCACTGACACCCGCACTCACACCCACGATCACCCTTGTTCTCACACCCCGCACTCGCTCTCGCACTCGCTCTTCACTCACAATCCTTTTTCGACACTCACAAAAGCACACACACAAACACGTGCACTCATCCTCGTACTCAACCTAGCATATAAACTCGAACGCACTTTCGCACCTCCCTTTGCACTCACAACCGCACCCTTGCACTCAACCTCGCATTCACACACATACGTTCAAACTCGCCGTCGTCCTCACACTCACTCTCACACTTGCTTTCGCACTCACTCGCGCACTCACGCTTGCACTTGCTCTCTCATTCACATTCGCACCCGTCCTTGAGTTCATAACGCACTCACCCTCAAGTGCATGCGCGCATCTCACGGTCAAACTCACACCAGCACGCACTCGCACCCAAATAAACACTCGCAATTGTCCTCTCGCACACTTCCGCACTCACTCTTGCCGCCACTCACACACTCACGCCCTAAGCGCAAGCGCCCACGGTGCCAGCGCCCCAAGCGCAAGCGGCTTAGGCGCAAGCGCCCACGACGTTCGCGCCAACGGCGCAAGCGTGCAAGGCTCTCTCTCTCCCTCCTCCCCCTCCCACGCTCCCTCCCACCCGCCCTTGGTGCTCCCTCGCCCTCCCTCTCTCTCGCTTAAAAAAAAAAAAAACGTGCAACGCAAGGAGACCAATCGACAAACAGAAGCCACAAAAGATGTAAGAAAGTAAGAGAAGTTCAGAGGGGAAAAGGAGGAGAAACAGACCGGGATAGGTAAACGCACCTGAGAATGTCGATGCCTAAGATACCAACTCGCGCTCGCCCGCCAACTCGCGCTCGCCCGCCAGCTCGCGCTCGTGCAGCTGCCGTCAGCGGCGACCGCGAGATGGGAGGGGGAGGCGGTGACGGCGGTGAGAGAAGGGGCGAAGGCGGGCTTGGAAGGGAGCCGACGGCGGGATGTGAGGGGGAGGCGACGGCGGGATGTGAGGGGGAGGCGACGTCGGGATGTGAGGGGGAGTCGACGGCGGGATGTGAGGGGGAGGCGACGGCGGGATATGAGGGGGTGGCGACGTCGGGATGGGAGGGAGAGGCGACGGCGGGTAAGAGGGAGATGCGACGGCGGGATGGGAGCGAGGCGAGCGCGGGGTAAGAGGAAGAGGCGACAGCGGGATTGGAGGGAGAGGCGATGGCGGGTTAGAGGGAGAGACGAAGGCGGGATGGCAGGGAGAGGCGAACGGCTGGGTGAGAGGGAGAGGTGATGGCGAGGTGGGTGGGAGAGGCGACGAGGGACGAGAGGTGAAGCGGAAGATCAAGGGTTTGTCGGGTTGGGTCGAGTCTTGAGAATTGAGGGGGCATAAGGGCGGGTGTGAATCTAAATATTACCATAAGTTTACATTTTGGATTCGATTGTAGCAAGTGAACACAAGGCGAGCCTGACTCGATTTTGAGTGCTTGCAAAGTTCGAACCGCCAGAGTCAACAGTTGCACACTCAAAACCACACACGCAAGTGCGAATTTGCAAGTTCGAGCTTGTAGGGGGGGAACCGAACCGCCATTGGGGTGTGTAGGTTACCCAGTTTCGGCATCTTGACAGCGCGACACGTCAACGGAGCGCGCCCCCCAAATGGACCCTCTAGACCTCCACCTCATCATCGTGCCCCGTATGTACCACCAAGCCACACAGGTGAGTTGGCCCAGGCATGCTCCAACTCACCATTCCACAATGTCTCTCATTGAGCTGGTGCTGATGTGGGGTGTACATTGTTGGCGCGAATTTCGCTGCCAGTGCGCCAACTTCTGGTCAAGCGCAGAAGCGGCACGTCATCGTGCCACGACATGATACACGTGGCGGCAGTTGCCTGAATGGGTATGCCGTGGGTTTCGGTTGTGCATCTATTGGTGCACGAAAGCTTTGCGATTGTCGCGCACTCCTCGTAAGTACCTGAAACCACACACGTTCGCTTCAACGTGCAAAACCATGTTTGCTCATAAACTCGAATCTTGTTCACTTTGGGGGGTTCGAGTGCCATCAGGATCAGTTTGACCCCAGTGTCGGCGACAAAATTTGCCAAAAACTGCGAAATTGGTTACCACCTTAAGTTCGAACATATTTTCGAACTTCATTTAGATTCACACACGCCCTAACTTGGTTGGGAAATTATCAAATTGGGGCCGAAGATTGCCAGAGAGATGACCAGAGTAGAGCCGGTAAATCTCGACCATAGGATTTCAACCCCGATCTGACCAAGCGGCTAGGCGAACAAGCCGAGCCGTGACTAAAAGAGAAATGCTACAAGCGCCAGATTCCCTGTTCAAATTGTTTTATTAGGGTTACGACCGCCTTCTACTACTACGGGCGCATCGCGTTTTTATGGAAGTATAATTCGCCGTAATTAATGGTGAGTCCAAACCAGCATAAAATATTCTTGGTGATACATATCACTATCTGATGGGAAACGCGCGGAAAGAAAAATATTACCCGTTCGGGAACGGATGTGACTAGAGAGTCATCAACCCTAAGCTCCAAGAAGGTTCTCGTTTTTAGGGTTGATCCATCCCGAAAATGGATCCAGGTTCCCTAGGGGTTTTAGTTTTTTTGGCTACCAGGTGGAAAGCCATGAATAATTTGCGATTTCCAGGAAAAATGACGCGCGAGCAAAAGCGCGAGCTGTTACAAACCACTAGCGATAACAATACGTGCAATAAAATGATGTCTCTTTGGTAACTCCTCCTCACGCTGCGGTTTGGTTATTTCCGGGCCTCTCGGCCCCTCTTCGATCACCCCTCTAGTAATGTTTGGCCGAGAGAATTTCTCCAGACCCGTGTTTGGTGATTTGCCGTTGCACACGTGGCCTCGAATTGCTACCGTGGTTAGACAATTCGATGATAATTGCTCGAGTGGTCTTGCCAAAGGTTTCCTCTGGCCTTTTTTTTATATGGCACATAACCCAGAAAAGGTTTCTAGCCCTGAAATTCTTACATCGAAAGTGTCTCTTCTCGCGAAAACGTGACGTACTATTTTCCGCCCGAAAATTTTGGCTGGGTGACGTGCGCGAGGGCGGCCACGTCACGATCATTTTGGAGAACAGTCGTGCGCTCATTTTCGGTCGTAATCATGACCAATCCGCGCATAGGGATATGATTCCCCGATCATATACTCAGTTGCACGGCTGTCCATACGCGCGACCAATATACAGAGTGCGCCTGATTCGTCAACTTTATGCGCGAAGCACTTTTTGACCTTGCGCGTCCAATCAGACGCGGTCATGTAAGATCGCGCACGCCACGTTTTCGCGGGAAGAGACACTTTCGATGTAAGAATTTCAGGGCTATAACCCTTTCTGGGTTATGTGCTTTATAAAAAAAAAAGGCCAGAGGAAACCTCTGGCAAGACCACTCGAGCAATTATCATCGAATTGTCTGACCACGGTAGCAATTCGAGGCCACGTTTGCAACGGCAAATCACCAAACACGGGTCTGGAGAAATTCTCTCTGTTTGGCCCCTGTATGATCTTCTCCCAACTCGGTTTGGTGAGGACGCGTCCCCTGAAGCGGATCGGCCGAAGATCGGCCGATCCGCACCGATCGTCATTTCGAGCCCAGGCTCGACAGAGATCGGTGCCCAGGGTTGCGCAACTAAGGCGCACCGACATACAGGTGACAGGTTCGGTAAGGTAGGTTTCGGGTTTGTGGTACACCCAACCTGCGACAACATCTCTGTTGTCGCGCGCAAATATCGCACATGAAAATCCACTGTATGCGACGTTATGCGGTAACAATGCGACTATTAACGAAGTCGATCGATCTTGACTGTCACTCTTGGCGCGAAATTCCACACCACGCCACCCAATCTTGCGTTCGATATGTGCAATTCGCTATGTCGATTGGGGCTCGCATAGGTGACAGGGTGGTGGGCACATTTTTACTGTATAATTGCAAATACCGACGAACAAAGGTTACCTTGTTGATTACGACGCTACAGTGCTACACCCCGCGCGCAAAACCGATCTTCCAGCCGATCGATCCGCTTCAGGGGACGCGTCCTGAGTGTAGGTTCTTGAGGTGATTCGCTTGTGTTTGTTTTGTTCTTCCTCCTGGCGATGCAGGCAATTGTTGTGTAAAACCTCTTTGGACTCGAGTGAAGCATCAAGCATCCATCACCCTCGCTGCCTGTTGCATCGCGCACCGACACCGCCATAGTTAATCAACACCCATCAAGTGAGGAAAACAAATGTGTGCAATGCTGCTGCACCTAAGGTCGATATCGTTTACCGAGCGTTTTCTCACGTGTGCATGCGCCGTCCCATGTGCCCGATGGCCAATCACGTCATACATGTACACTCACAACAACGAAGGGAGGTGGCGCCGCCGCGCAAACTCAACAACGACTGCGCTGCGCCGATGCTATGGTGACGCACTTTGCGGTCCCGCCACGCAATCAATCGCAGGGCGTTTTTTAGAATGCTCAGAAACTCCCCGCCAGGCTGCCACGATGCTGACCTTTTTTTGCGGCTCCGCCACGCAATCACAGATCCGAGCCGCGACCAGCCTCGCCGATGCCTGCCGTAGCGACACGAAGAGCCATAGCGGCGCGCCCGGCGGGGGAAGCGTTCCGCCAACAAAAGCATGACGCTTCCCGCGCCGAGCGCGCCGTTTGTGCCTGTGCAGCATCGTCTTCGTGACGACGATGGTGAAAGCGTTCCGCCAACAGAAGAACCTAATACATACGTACAGAAGCGAGGACGAGGCCGCGAGTCGCGATTCCTTCGCACATGGTCTGTGTCGCAGGACGAGGAGCAGCCAAGCGGGGCCCTTGGCGCACAACGGACCCTCTCACTTGCCTCCTCCTCCCAATCCCAGCAGAAGCCCCAGCTGCCATATCGCTAAGAATCTCATCTGGATTCTTTTGTCGCGTTGATTGTTCCAATCGGCTTCAACTCCTGTCGCCCCTGTCGCCCACCTCGTCGCCCACCTCGTCGCCCCAGCTCGTTGTCGCGCAAGCCGTACTGAACGAAAAGCCCAGCCCGTAGCTGTGGCGGCGAGATCTTCTATGAGTGTGAGAAGAGGCGGGTTGCGCGGCAGCACCTATCAGGGAGCTACGTGCGATGCCCACCTATCTTCTGCCTCCGCCGTTGAGTGACATTTGAGTCCGCTCGCAAACGGAACCAGCACAGCAACTGCCGCTTGCGAGCCTTGAGAATCTAAAACCGCCCTATGGTGTCCGTCTCTGCCTCCGCCAAATGCGGCGATCTGCTCCTCGGCCTGCCCCATGACCTCGCGCTCGCCTGTCTTGCGCGCCTGTCCCTCTGGGACCTGCCCGCCGCTCGTTGCGTGTCGCGCGCCTGGGCGGCCGCCATTCGCCGCCGGTCGTTCGGTCGCCTGCGACGCGTCCGCGCAGACGATGGGGGGTGGAGGGGTGCGGGGGGAGAGGGGAGGCTGCGCCATTGTTGGGCGGAAGGGAGGGAGAAGGGGGGGGGGGGGGGGGGTGGGGGGGGGGGAAGGGGAGGGGAAGGGGAAGGAGAAGGGGAAGGGATTGGCGGGAGACGAGTGGAAGCTTGGTTCTGTACCCAGTTTTCTCTTGAACAACTCTAACAACCGCCTTCCAGTGCACTTAGAATCTCACTTTCCAGCCCCAGTGGCTTCAAAGGCGTGTGTGCACGAGGGCCACTGCGATAGCCCGGGTGCACTGCTGGTGGTGTACGTGGGTGGTAGCGACGGTAGCAGCAGCGATGGCAGCAGGCAACCAGCGGCTGCAGTGGTTCGCGTGCTGCATATGTGAAGCTTGCAAAACTTGTCATCCCTTCGAAAATTGGGTCCCTTTGTGAAGCCTGCTGCCCCTGTGAAGCCTGCTGCCCCTGTGAAGCCTGCTGCCCCTGTGAAGCCTGCTGCCCCTGTGAAGCCTGCTGCCCCTGTGAAGCCTGCTGCCCCTGTGAAGCCTGCTGCCCCTGTGAAGCCTGCTGCCCCTGTGAAGCCTGCTGCCTCTGTGAAGCCTGCTGCCTCTGTGAAGCCTGCTGCCTCTGTGAAGCCTGCTGCCTCTGTGAAGCCTGCTGCCTCTGTGAAGCCTGCTGCCTCTGTGAAGCCTGCTGCCTCTGTGAAGCCTGCTGCCTCTGTGAAGCCTGCTGCCTCTGTGAAGCCTGCTGCCTCTGTGAAGCCTGCTGCCTCTGTGAAGCCTGCTGCCCCTGTGAAGCCTGCTGCCCCTGTGAAGCCTGCTGCCCCTGTGAAGCCTGCTGCCTCTGTGAAGCCTGCTGCCCCTGTGAAGCCTGCTGCCTCTGTGAAGCCTGCTGCCTCTGTGAAGCCTGCTGCCTCTGTGAAGCCTGCTGCCTCTGTGAAGCCTGCTGCCTCTGTGAAGCCTGCTGCCTCTGTGAAGCCTGCTGCCTCTGTGAAGCCTGCTGCCCCTGTGAAGCCTGCTGCCTCTGTGAAGCCTGCTGCCCCTGTGAAGCCTGCTGCCCCTGTGAAGCCTGCTGCCCCTGTGAAGCCTGCTGCCTCTGTGAAGCCTGCTGCCTCTGTGAAGCCTGCTGCCCCTGTGAAGCCTGCTGCCTCTGTGAAGCCTGCTGCCTCTGTGAAGCCTGCTGCCTCTGTGAAGCCTGCTGCCTCTGTGAAGCCTGCTGCCTCTGTGAAGCCTGCTGCCTCTGTGAAGCCTGCTGCCTCTGTGAAGCCTGCTGCCTTTGTGAAGCCTGCAAAATCTGCGACCCGCGGGACCTGTGCGATCCATGCCAGGCAAGGCAGCTATGCAACTGGGCTGGGTCGTCGTTAGGCCTCTGTGCCTGCTGCGCCCCCAACGCATTCCCCCCCAGCTGGCGCCGCCTGCCTCCGCTTCCCCCCGCCAACCGCCACGCCCACCCAGCCTGTTACGGCGCTGTTGCTGTGGTAATTCCCGAAGTCGGGTTTTGTCATCGTGGGTGATGCCGTGCCTTGCCAGTCCGGCCGGCGGCAGCATGTGCGCCACGTGTCAGTGTTTGACTGGCACATGGGCGCGTGATTTGCTGTGCAGCAGCCGTGCCTGCTTCCCAGATTGGACCCTGTGGTGGCTGCAATGGGTGGGGTGCGGTGGAATGGGGGGCAGAGGGATTGCCTCGTGGTTGTCGGAGGGTGTTCTGTGCCGTTTTTTCCATAGGGGAGATCTGCTGGTTCGTGTGGTAGAGTTGCTGTTCGCCCCTCAGAAACGGGGGTAGTGGAGCAACATCCTGATTTTTCAGCTCCCGGAGCCTCTCCCAGCTTGCCACGCGGCAGTGCTTTCCCCAGCAACCACTCGCGCCACCCGTTCCTGGGGGTGTGCACGATGCGCATTGCGATGCCTGCAGACGGATTTGGTGCCGACGAGTGTGACAGTGACTAGCGTGCCAATAACAGCAGATCGGAGTCTGTTCACAGCAGCGGTAGTAGCAACAGCAACAGCAGCGACAGCACCAACAGCAGCGGCAGCAGCAAAAGCAGTGGCCGCAGCACCAGCAGCAGCAGCAGCAGTGGTGCCGGTGGCGACAGTGGCGGCACAAGCAGCAAGCTGAGTGGTTGTGGTTTGACTGAAGGCGGCAGCAGCTGCGGGGAGCATTACTGCCAGTTCGCAAGGCTCGACTCACTTGGACTGGGAGGGCGGGTGTTTGTGCAACGGCACAGGTCACCCTACTTTGCCATCAACCTGGGGGGCTTAAACGCCATGCACTCAGACCACCTCCACCTGCTCATACTGCCCATGGCCCTGGTAGCCGTGTTACATGCACCGGCGGTATTGTTGATGGTAGTGGCGGTGCGCTCAACAGCAGCATGGTGTCAGAGGTAGGTGTGGTGGAGGCTGACTGGGGGAGCGCTGAGATGTGGAGGGTGGTGGAGGAGTGTGACGCCATCCATGCCATCTGGACCACAACACACGTAGCACAAGTGATTGTAGCGGATGTGACTGCAAAGCCAGCAGCAGAGGAAACCTCAAATAGAGCATGCAGCAGCAGAGCGTCCTGGGTTTCAAATCTTGAGACGCCTCAGGAACCACCAGACGCACACAGCAGCACAGCTGTAGCACCACACACCGCACCCGCCACCTACTCGGTGCTTTGCTCTCTGCTTGTCTTCAACCACCTTCGCCGGAAATGGGTTCCTGCTGGCCCTCCCCTCCTCTCTCCCTCCCCGCCTCGTCCTCCTCTTCCTCATCAGTCCCCTCAGCTCCGTCACCCCGGTGGCAGGTTATCGCATGAGAGATATTCTTCCACTCCACCCTGTGCGCCCATGCCACCCTGCCCACACACTACACGCTCCAACTCCCATTCTGTTGCACTCGACTCAGATCTTTCCAGCAACGGTGCAGCTTCCAGTCTTGTTGCCCCTTCCAATGCTGCTGATGTTAGCTCTGCCCCTGCTGTAGCTGCTGCTGCTGACAATTCTGCCAGCGCTGCCAAATCTGGAAGGCTGCAGCAGCTTCTCGGTTGTGGCGGCCGGCTCGTGGCTCTCTTCCAGCCACACGACCCGCGCCACCCAGGAGTGATGCGAGAAATACTCCTCCCGGACCTCCATACTCTCTCTTCTCTCTCCGCCCTACTCCCTCACACCTCCTCATCCTTCTCATTCCCTTCCTCGCTCCCCTCTCAGCCTTCTCTCTCTGCCCCCACACAGCCACCCATTGCTGTCAGCCACCCAGCAGCACAGGCACAGGCTTTAGGGAGTGTGCCTGTAGCAGCAGCCAGAGAATCAATGCACCTGATGGGTAGTGATAATGTTGAAGGGCAAGGTGGCTGGGCAATGGGTGCTCCAGTGGCCTTGCCTGGCAACAGAAGGTTGCACCATGTGCTCGCCATACACCTTGCTATTTAGGAACATTTGACGTGATCACATTTTTCTGTACATAGGGTACTGAGCTGAGTTGCTACTGATTCTGTGAGAGGTTTGACTAGTGAATGCCGTGGAAGTATATTTTCTTTCTTTGTGACTTGCTGCTACCGTAAACCCCCAGATAAACGACCCCCCCTCCCCCCCGCCCCGCCCCGCACCCTGTCAGAAAGAGCAGCAGGAACGGAAACAGAAGAAGAGGGGTTTCACTAGCAGGCAGTTGGGATACAAATAGCAAACCCTAACCGGGCTGCACTCACTATAGAGTACCCCACTGCAGACTAGACAAATATCACATTCTGACACACCCCCATAGGCAAAGTGGGGTATAATCAGCACAGCAAGCAGTCACATAATAAGTTCACAAGCACAAGCAAAGCTAGTGGGAGACATAGAGGACTCGTGAGGAGGAGGGACTGTGAGGAGAGGAGATTGGAGGCGGCGGCTGAAGCTGCTGGCACACGGGCTACTGGAGCAACTGGCACACGGGCTACCGGAGCAAGGGCCCCGGACTACTGGAGTAACTGGCTCCGCAACTAAGACGAGCGGCTGGAGCAACGGACCCACGGGCGACTGGCGCAACGGGCTCGCTGGCTACCGGAGCAAGGGCATCCGGACTACTGGCGCTGCTGGCTCCACAACGGCTACCTCCGTTCAACCTCCCCCACTGTCGCAGACCCCTTTTCACACACCCCCCTATGCAACCCTAGCTCCACTCCCGCGGCACCCCCCTAGCGCCACTCCCTCGGCTCCCACACATCCACCCCCCTCAGCGGCAGCTGCAGCAGTGGGAGACGGAGGAGGAGGAGGAGGAGCAGGTGACGGTTCACACACCCGCCACCCCGTACCCGTCACCCCCATAGCTGCACGCGCATGAGGGAGAGGAAGGGGAAAGGGTAGGGGCGGGGGGGGAGCAGCCCCACGGCGCACGGGGTCAAGGGGCGGCGCGCGGGTCCCTGGGGGAGCTGCGACGAACGATGGGGGCGGCGCGCTTGTCCCCGGTGGCGCCGCGACGGGCGACGGGGGGCCGCGCGCGGGTCCCCGGGGGCGCCGCGACGGGCGACGGGGGGCGGCGCACGCGTCCCCGGGGCTCCCGCACGCTCCGAGCGCATGGCGGGAAGAAAAAACGTCGCGCGCCACGGGGCGCGCGACAGGCAGTACAGCAGCGGAAGCAGGTGGGCCCACAGGCCAGGAGCGTAGACGCTCTGATAGCATATCAGAATGAGCAGCAGGAACGGAAACAGAAGAAGAGGGGTTTCACTAGCAGGCAATTGGGATACAAATAGCAAACCCTAACCGGGCTGTACTCACTATAGAGTACCCCACTGCAGACTAGACAAATATCACATTCTGACACACCCTTCCTCCTTCTTCCCCCCTCTAGAAACCTTTTCATTTGAGACCAAGCCCTCAGAAGTCAGAGAAATTTCTCTGATTTGCATGAAAAAGTCTGATATTTCAGAATTTGTTTTCCAGTGAACTCTGAGAAATTCATAATTTTTATGGCCTCAACTCTGTAAAAAAATCATATTTTTTTTTAGGCTGACTCCGAAATTTCAGAGTTTTTCGTGAGTGTACTGTAAAAGTTATCGTATATCCTGCTTGCTGTAGCTACTGTAGTTATTGTCATCAACTGTTGGTGGTGCTCCACTGTGCTCACCTTCCCTTGAACTATATCATGTATCTTGCCTTCCATAATGCAACCCCTTCTCTCTCGTCCACCTCGTTCTAAACCCTAGGCTCCTAACCTAGTCTTCTCGACATGCTATCAGAGCTACTACGGTCTTAGGACCCATTTTTTCTTTCAAGGAACATGGGCCCGCTCCCATTGCAGCAAGAAATGCGCTATTTTGTTCGTCACCAGTCGCGCCCGAGGCGCCTACCCGTCCCGTCCCGTCATGCCCGTCGCGCCCAAAGCGCTTGCCCGTTCGTCGCGCCCCGTGCGCCCTGCCCGTCCGTCGCACCCCCCTTGCGCCCTGCCCGTCCGTCGTGCAGCCGTTTTGCCTGCGCGCGGCCCGTTCCGACCGTGCGAAGCCCGCCCAGCGCCTCGCCATGCGCCAGCGCGGACGTCTGTGACCTACGCCAGCGCACGCCCTCGCCAAGCGCCAGCGCAGACGTCCGCGACGTGCGCCAGCGCGGACGCCAGCGCCAGCGACCAGCAACCAGCGCCAGCGCGTGCGCCAGCCGCGAAGCGCCAGCGCGGACGCCAGCGCCAACAGCTCCGTACAGCCCTTCCCTTCCGCGGCTTTTGCCGTTGGGGGGGGGGGATGTGGGGGTGGCGGGTGTGAACCGCCAGCGCAGGCACCAGCGCCACCCGCCAACACCAGCAGCTACCGCCGCCCCCCCTCCCTCCATTCCACGGCTTTTGCCGTGGGGAGGGGAGATGAGGGGGTGGCAAGGGGGTGATGAGTGGGTGGCGGGTGTGTGAAGGTGAAAGGAGGGTGAGGGTGAGACTTGAGGGGACGGCGGATTCAGGGGGTGAGGTTAAAGGGGGGTGGTTGAGTTGAGTACTGAAGGTTATTAAGAGGGATAGTAGGTGTGACGTTGGTACACTCATGCTGGCCCCCCACCTTCTCTTCGTTTCCCTCACTCCTCCCCCTCCCCCCTTTGTAAAAGGGGGTTATTAAGAGGGATAGTAGGCATGAATTTGGTACAATCATGCTGGCCCCCCACCTTCTCTCCTTTTCCCTCTCTCATTCTTACCTTCCCCTTAGTTCTCCTCTCCTCTCCTCTCTCCTTCGCTTGCCTCGTTTCCCTCACTTACCACCCTTTGCCGTCTTTTGTTGCACGTTTATGGGGTGCTGATTGTACTAGTTCCTACCGCAAGCAGGCTAAGGGGGTGTGTCAAAGTTATATTATATCCTGCTTGCTGTAGTTACTATAGTTATTGTCATCAACTGTTGGTGGTGCACCACTGTGCTCACCTTCCCTTGAACTATATCATGTATCTTGCCTTCCATAATGCTGCCCCTTCTCTCTCGTCCACCTCGTTCTAAACCCTAGGCTCCTAACCTAGTCTTCTCGACATGTACTCTGATAATTCAGAGTACAAACGAGTGCCGACTCTGATTGAATGTACCTGGGCGCCGACACTCAGGATTAACAGTGGTACATGTACCTGTACCGTCAATCACGTGAAGCCTGTGACAGCTGTCAAGCTCTTTGGGCGACACCGCCCTGCGGCGCGATGTTTCCCTCGTAAGCTCCAGCTCACACCCCGTTAGAGCACTGATTGGTCGGTTTGGCAGCTTTTGCCCGCCATCACGGACTCCACCACCACCAGTGTCCAAGATGCTGCATTACAGTAGCCACCCACGTAAAGGTGATGGCAAGCAGACGGTGCCAACAGGACCTATTGGCGGACACCCTGAGCATTGATTGGTCCTTTTGGCAGCATCGTGTACCACGATGCTACAACAGACACACACGAAACATTCCTCGTAGCATTGCACGGCAGGCGCGCCTCGTCGTTG